ATGACACATATACCACCAGGACTTGACAGACACTTGTATGACACATATATACCACTAGGACTTGACAGACACTTGTATGACACATATACCACTAGGACTTGACAGACACTTGTATGACACATATACCACTGGGACTTCACAGACACTTGTATGACACATATACCACCAGGACTTGACAGACACTTGTATGACACATATACCACCAGGACTTGACAGACACTTGTATGACACATATACCACTAGGACTTGACAGACACTTGTATGACACATATACCACAATGACTTCACAGACACTTGTATGACACATATACCACCAGGACTTGACAGACACTTGTATGACACATATACCATAATGACTTGACAGACACTTGTATGACACATATACCACCAGGACTTGACAGACACTTGTATGACACATATACCACCAGGACTTGACAGACACTTGTATGACACATATACCACTGGGACTTCACAGACACTTGTATGACACATATACCACTAGGACTTGACAGACACTTGCATAACACATCTACCACTAGGACTTGACAGACACTTGTATGACACATATACCACTAGGACTTGACAGACACTTGTATGACACATATACCACTGGGACTTGACAGACACTTGTATGACACATATACCACTAGGACTTGACAGACACTTGTATGACACATATACCACAATGACTTCACAGACACTTGTATGACACATATACCACCAGGACTTGACAGACACTTGTATGACACATATACCACCAGGACTTGACAGACACTTGCATAACACATATACCACTAGGACTTGACAGACACTTGTATGACACATATACCACTAGGACTTGACAGACACTTGTATGACACATATACCACCAGGACTTGACAGACACTTGTATGACACATATACCACAATGACTTCACAGACACTTTTATGACACATATACCACTGGGACTTCACAGACACTTGTATGACACATATATCACACGGACTTTACAGACACTTGTATGACACATATACCACAATGACTTCACAGACAACCCGGGAGACCGGCATAGAGCTGGAATATTGCTGAATACGTCGTAAGAACAAACTCACACACAGTCAAGCCGGGAGACCGGCATAGAGCTGGAATATTGCTGAATACGTCGTTAAGAACAAACTCACACACAGTCAAGCCGGGAGACCGGCATAGAGCTGGAATATTGCTGAATACGTCGTTAAGAACAAACTCACACACAGTCAAGCCGGGAGACCGGCATAGAGCTGGAATATTGCTGAATACGTCGTTAAGAACAAACTCACACACAGTCAAGCCGGGAGACCGGCATAGAGCTGGAATATTGCGGCACAGGAAAGATGGACGTTCCTTACCAATACAGTCAGATCAGCCTGCAGCGCATTCAGCAGTCCTTGATATCATGTGCTGTAATTTAAAAAAAAGACTGTAACACACGAAGATGCACTTGCCGGAAATATAGTCTCGCTTGCAGTGCTGTGCGCTGGGAATACCATGGTACAAGCTGTACCAATAAACAGTTACCAGACTTCTCGGGGGATGACAAACCTGTTGAGACTTTCGAGGTACATGTATGTGAAGACCCTGCAACGTCCAGTTACAGCATTCACCGTGACAGTTCTTCCACTGTTCATCACGTAATAATGTTCATGAATCACACAATCATGTGACGGAATGAGCAGTGGTTAAAAAGTTTCAGATTTATATCCAAATATTGGTATTTTGTGGTTATACTGAAGCTCCGCAAATGAACTACAAAGGAGATATCTCATCGACGTCTTGTGAAACAACTGGTTTGGGTTAATTCTGAGAGGACCTCATACAGGTCATACGTGTTCCCAACAAGTATTTACATGAATGAAAACGAAACTTGTTATAGCGTTTATTTTCATGTTGATAAGTAGATTCAGACAATAACAATCAACATTGATATCTAAACTCGCAAAAACACGTCATTTAAGAGATACATATTGATATTCGGGGGTTGTATTGGATTTGTGATTTAGTATTCTACATGCATCCTTGGGTCTGCTTACCCCAATGTAGAAGTTCAAATCACTCAATAGACCAACAGTGTATTGATAGCCATCAAACTCTTGGCGGCCATCTTGGAATTTGGGGCAACCAGGGGGCTCTGATGACGGAGTTTCTGTATAAAAGTGTTAACTATACTTAAGTGAGTTAGTGTGCCAAGTTGTATGCATATAAGTCCTAGCAAACAGTTTTTGAGTTAAAAGATTCAACAGTGTAAACACACATTTAGGAAACTTGTCGGCCATCTTGAAATTGGCGGCCACCTTGATTTTTTGCGGATATGTCAATAGTCAAAAACGTTCAGTAGTTGTGAATATCTTTTTAGAAACATGATATGGCTATTTCACAAGACACATGCTGTTTTCATGAAAACATTGAACCTCATCTGAAATATGGAAGATAAATTGATAATTGGTGGCCATTATGCAAATAGACATATTTCCCAAACTAGGATTGCTTGGGACTTTTAGATATTTGTGTTCGGGACCTTGTAGAATAGCATTGGGGTGAAATATTCTCTGTTGCAGTTTGTTCCAAGCTGAGTGAAAAAACGGCTTAGATTGCCAGGACTATATAGCTGGAATATTGTTGAGTGCGGCGTAAAACAACAAACACACCTATCGTGAAGCGAGACGCACTAAGCAATATGGTGTCACGACTATCTTTAGTCTACAATAAAATATATGTGCAAGTGATCCCAACTTGTCAGTACACAGTAGATCCTTGTGGTCCACTTTCTAGTTACCATGGCGGTGTGGATGATTTATTCAAAGAAGAAATGTCTCACAGCTCCAGGGTGTCGAGGTGACGAACCGACACTTCACCAACGAGACAACTCCAGTGGCCGTCACAACACGCTGCCATATGTGATGATTTGTACGAGTACTCAACACCCTTTCCCGCTGCCCTCAGTAGAACAGTGTCCAGACAAGTCAGGTTCTATTGTATCCGTAGTCTTTCTGACACCAGGATCCGCTGACTCGCCTTTGATTAACCTTGGTCTATCGTCAACATGTCGGTGCTTGTCAAATTCACAGAAGAACAACGACATATGCCACTAAGTTCGCGGGTGCCGAGGGTATGCAAGGTCCAAGGTGCTGCATAGCGATGTGCAGAGCTGCGTCCCTTGGCTGTCAAGACTTGTGTAACATAGGTTCGAACCCAAGATTCTGATAACTGGTCCGTCTGCACCATACCCACCACAATCGTGAGTTTCACAAAAATCTGCTTCGTCGTTACGCTTTCCAGCACAAATCAAACTGACGCGCGGTGACTCACTCACTCACTCACTCAGTGGCGGTCTGGTAGCCTAGGGGTTAAAGCGTTCTTGCAAGGAATAAGGATTTATCTATACACAACGAAGAAGGCTTCCTCCCGCCACGGCAGGCTGCGTTCACCCAACGGCGGCCTCTCCAACAGTGATGTTTGAATGTGTATTTCAGGTTATAACCATGTGATACTGTATGGAGCCTTGCTCAAACGACGACTATGCCTGTGAGACTGTATGGAGCCTTGCTCAAACGACGACTATGCCTGTGAGACTGTATGGAGCCTTGCTCAAACGACGACTATGCCTGTGAGACTGTATGGAGCCTTGCTCAAACGACGACTATGCCTGTGAGACTGTATGGAGCCTTGCTCAAACGACGACTAAGCCTGTCGTAAAAGGCAACTAACGGGATCGGGTGGTCAGCCTCGCTGACTTGGTTGATGCATGTCATCGATCCCAATTGTGTGGATCGATGCTCATGATATCAATCACTGGATTGTCTGCTCCAGACTAGATCATTAACAGACCGCCGTCATATAGCTGGAATATTGCTGGGGGCTGCCTTAAATAAACAAACAAACAAAAACACATGGCTCTACATTATATATATGGATGGTTTGCTGCGTTGTTAAATGATTCAATGGTTACAAGGTTACAAGAAAATAGAACTGTGTATGTATGTTGAGAATGTGTCCTGTCTATTGCCATACGTCTTGTTTGGAAGGCTCAGATTACTCCGATTACTTACAGTCACGTGTTTGATTACATTTGTGGGATTACATTTTAGATTACATTTCATGGTCACGGGCTACTGACGAAACTTACAAGTGATTCAGAACAACAACGTTTATCGGTGACATTGATATTAATAATTGATATCTTTCTTTCTGTACACTGTACTGACATCTGTACTGACAAACACATAATGAATATCATTTTCAATCTCTATATTACATAATGGATGAATTGTTTTCTCGATTTTTCAATGGACAGTTTTCTTCCTTCATTTACTAATAGGTTAGACTCCAGTAAACCAAGTCGCTATTTAACGAAAAGTTTTCTAAAGTTTTCCGTAGTAAGTATTGATAAGTGAATTCCTGGTTCAAGTAAGGTCTTGAAAGTATTGTATTATTCATGACGTGAACTATACTCTAAAGTGGAATGCCATTCTTGATGGAGCATATTTATAGCTCGATTTCGAAATTGTTTGAGAAACATTTACATTCCCAACAGACGAACATCAGGTGAGGTTCAGATTGCTGTCTGACTGACTTTGGCGACGTGGGGCAACAGGAAGCATGATAAAAAACGGGCTGTTGAATGTTTAATCAGATCGGTCGCCCTAGAAGTGCAATTGTCTTGAACGCGACGTTAAACTCCACCCCTCTCCCCCGCACCCTCATCCACCACCCACCCCCCTCCATCTCTCCTAACCTCACCCCATCCCAGCCCACTTCCCCTCCCCTCCCCCCATCCCACCTCCCCTCCCCTCCCCTCCCCTCCACTCACCACATCAAGGTCTACATAGCCACTGACTAAACACACCTTCAGAACCGAACACGGCGGGGTGGTGTATTGTACACCCTTATTTGGAGAAGTAGGGCTGTAATTGTAGAATTTATACACTGAGTGCATGTACTTCCTATAGTGACATACTTGTAGGATGATAAAACAGTATATATCCCGTCAGGTTTACAACCATCGCCATTATTCATACTATACTTGATTATATGTCCGCTGTGGCAGGAGTGGGGTCAGCGAAGCGTGGGGTCAGCGGAGCGTGGGTCAGCTGTAGGGATGCGTCCTTCATGCATGAAACTGACGTGAAATGGACAGTTGTCTGCTGGTATTGCGAAACATGGTATTGTAATACAGGCATTAGCTGGCCTTACATGCAGTTGAAACATTAAGTTGTTATGCGAAACGAATCACGAGTGTTACGTAAATTTATCTGCAACACACAGGGGCGCTAAGTCTCCGGTTCGACACACAGCGGGATTTGAATGGAAACGCAATAAGCCTGAACAAGGCTATTTATGCTAGGGGACAACGGTCAGGGTCTGAACTGTCAGACGCTCCTGGGGCTAGGTGTAGACTACACGGGGTGGAGATGCTTGATACAGGCCGCATCTGGAGACAGGATTGATGCTCCCACACTCGGTACAGTACGACCGTGAACATGGCTGTGTTGGCAGGGTCCGTCCTGGTGATAGCCCAACTCCTGACTGTGTCCTGTGTTCAATATGGCCCTGCGCCCCAGCTGACGGAGAACGGGGTGGCGGTGAACATCACTGATGAAGCTGTCACTGACTTGATGATCTTCCCTCATCCGTTACCGTTTTATATGTTCATGTATCACGGTGCAGTCGCCAACTTCACCTACTCCATCGTGTGCGACTCCTTCGACAGGTTCTACGAACTGCACATGTTCACGGAGAAGCCGGACGTGGCGTTCCTGTCCCAGCCGGGAGTCTTCAACCTGACGTGTGAAGACATGGAGGGGGGCTTCCCCCACCCGCGCGGGGACGCCATGATCGTGTCAGGAACATTTAACATTTCCTTGCAGTCAGACCTTCTGGGCCGAACCTGGCTCTACATCGACAGCCCGTCCGTCAACATCACGTCGGAGAGTAACAGCACCAACGACGGCAGTGATAAGGAGATTGGCCACTTCCGGTTGAGGACGATGATTACGGTGGTGCGGGCGTTACGTGCATTGGACACCGTGGTGCAGATAGTGGCCTACGTCTTCATCGTCACCAGCACCATCGGCATGGGGTGCAGCACGGACCTGGCCGTCATCAAGGAGGTTCTCAAACGACCCATCGCTCCCATCATCGGATTCGTCTGCCAGTACCTGGGCATGCCATTGGTAAGACACTCCTACCTTTACTCATCATCCTGCACCGGTGCACCTGCACCTGTCCTCGGGTGTTCACCATGAAATAGACCCGTGAAGATCCGGGTCGAGAATATTGTCTTCAGCAACCCATGCTTGTCGTAAAAGGCGACTCTGCTTGTCGTAAGAGGCGACTAACGGGGTGGGTGGTCAGACTCGCTGACTTGGTTGATGCATGTCATCGTTTCCCAATCGCTTGGATCGATGCTCATGATATCAATCACTGGATTGTTTGGTCCATGCTTGATTATTTGCAGACCGCCGTCATATAGCTGGAATATTGCTGAGTGCGGCGTTAAACAACAAACAAACCATGAAATACTGACAGCATCCCCGGTATGGTCAGGTAATGAGGTGTATGGTGGCCTGGGAACTGCTGTGTGGCGCTACTCTCTGTGGTCTCAGGCTACAAGAGCATGTTACACTGATTTGATACAGTTTGGCCCTCACTCTATGAAGGTTCATACTCCAATGAACTCACACAAAGTGAAAGTCAATTCTTAAATGATTTTTTAATTTGAATTTTACACGATATACGGCTTTTCCATTGGACGAGAGGTCGGTCGAAATTGGCGTTCATAAGTGTATGAACGACACAATTTGACGTTCATACATTTTTCACGAGACCGTGTTCTTGAAATGACGTAAACACTGACGGACTACTTCCACATTCCTGGGGAAACCCCTAGGAATTCCCCAGCACGAAAACATACATAAGCGTTCTCTCTGATCATTTAGAACCTTTATTCTTGGTCTCAGCGTTTCAGTATACATTGAGAAATGTCAGAGAGCGTGACTGCATGATTGTTCACGAATATCCTCGCTACGGCCCATCCTAATGAACAAACGAAGAAATGCACATCTAAACTATCGTAGTATCGACTCGATCCTTGTCTTCGGCTGACACTGACAGTCTCCAGCAATCTATGAATTTACCTTTGTGTCTGTTTGACGCATCTTTATTCACCTTTCAATGATCGGCCAGTTGATCAATGATGACTAACACATGTAACCGCCACAGGTTCATTAACAACTTCGGAAATCTCTCCCGTCACGTTTATCGTGTCGGTCATTTTGACGTCTTGTACTTGATGTAAATGTATTACGACGCGCTGTCATTGTGACTGACTTACTGAGGTAGTTCTTTACAGAACTTTCTCATCTAATGAGGATATGATTTGAACACATGTGCTGCGTAAGATGTTTCTGAAGAGCAAGTTGTGCATCCATACGCTCATGTCACCTCCCTTTTTGAGGAACTACTCCGCGATATAGCTGGTTGTTGTTTGGCTGTAAGTGTAAACATGAAGTCACACGTACTAAATAAAATTGTGTTTAGCCCTTGGCCTACATCCTTTTAGGTACGAAATTGTGATAAAATAATTATAAGAATTGACTTTAACTTTGTGTGAGTTCATTGGAGTATGAACCTCATAGAGTGAGGGCCAAACTGTATGAACGTCGGAGCTTGCGACGACGTTCATACAATGTTTGGCCCTCACTCTATTCTTAATTCATCGCAATGGGCGGGACATGCATGCAAAGGAACACGAATTATCGGAGACTTTGTCGAGTTTTTTATCGACAACCTAAGCGAATGTTTTAATCACAAGGGTAACGGGCGCCGGCCCAGTCATCCAAGATGCCGCATCGTGCTGTGCGGAGTTACCTCCCTTACCCGTGTAGGTTACACCCGATATAACGGAACTACGGCTACACCCGACTCCAGGTAACACACGTAGTAGACATTTGCCACTATGATGACGCTCTACATAGAGCTGATTCTGGGTGCGAGTAAGGGAAACAACTCTGCGGCAGTTAAGACCACTGGGCCGAATGTTCAGTGAAGCTGTCCTATGAGTTTGTTACAAATTAGCCATACGTTCAAAGACAAATGGCTGCCTCCTGCGATATTAAAAACTACTAGTTTTGCCCTGTTTGATGGCGAGTGCAAAAGACAAAGTAGTTGCATCATGGCCACAAGTTAAAAGACAACAGGTCTTATATATATACATATTATATTTGTATTCCTCCTTTGCCTATATTTTACTATCATGTAATGTATTAGACTGGTATTAAAAGGTATATTTTCTACCTGGCCCCCAGGGCTGGTCAGATGATTTAAAGTTATGAGAGCAAAATATGACGTCAAGCACAGCGCCCTGAACCTATTACTACTGGTTAAAACTCAAACAAAAGGAAATAATTTCATAAAATTACATGCACGATAGCATTGTTGACTAGCGGGTAATTTACAGTGACAAGACTTGCAGGAAGAATTACATATTGTTGCTAACCAAGAAGCGAATTATTGATATCACCAATGTATGGAATCCTACAAGGCACATTGTCGCGTTGTCGCATTGTCGCATTGTCACCCGTACAAAAACAAGCAAAAAGTGTCAAACAAAGCGCGACAATGCGACACCGTAACATTTTAGTCATTTGTCGCATTGTCGCATTGTCGCGCTTTGAACAATATCTTATATTTTACCAAATGCGATATCACAAATGTTTATCATGTATACCAATAAATACATAACGTACTTGGGGTATTTAAACTATGTTCTTGATAAAAATCTGATATTTGATATCAATAAGGATTTTTTGATATTACTAATGCGATTTAAAAATACATACGTTTTATTCATACCTTAAACTGTAATTAGCGATATCAATACACAAATTACTTTCGATTTCGAAATCTCGATATGAAAAACCTTCAATTACCCAGACTACACTGTGATCCTTTCCGCACAAACAATACCTTGTACATGATTGCAAGTGATTCCACAGCATTTGATTGACCAACCAAGCAATATATTTTGCGTGTCTGTTTCGCATAATCAAAATCAAACACGCCCACATCGGACTACTCTTTCCTGATTGGCTGATAATAGGGTAGGAGGGGCTTGGGTTGCATGACGGGGGTGGACGATGTCACTGACTTCATATTGTTGTCTACAGTGTTTTGTGTAACATTCCAATAGGCAGGTGTGAAGTTATTCTCATTGACGTACCTGTTTATAAGAATTAACTTCAATGGCGGTATAAACGTGATAAACGACGTGTGTAAATCTGCGGATGTAAACAACTACATCAAGTCACAACACGAATCGGGGCGGTCGGGTAGCCTAGTCGTTCGCTCGTCACGCCGAAGACCCGGGTTCGATTCCCGACATGGGTACAATGTGTGAAGCCCATTTCTGGTGTCCTCCGACGTGATATTGCTGGAATAATGCTAAAAACGGCGTAAAACTCACTCACTCACAACACGAATCGTCTTGTACTTACAGATTGCATTCGGGGTGGCGAAGCTTGTGAAGTTTGAGAACCCTGCCGTGGGGCTGGGGATATTTGCCTGTGGGTTTTGCCCGGGGGGTGGACCAAGCAACATCTACACTTACCTCCTGGGTGGAGACCTGTCACTATCAGTTACCATGACAACCATCAGCACAATAGCGGCACTTGGTAAGTTTAGCAATCTTTCACCATTAATTCCACGCTCGCAGCTGGGAGTCTTTTCCTCATAGTATGACGTCTCCGGGGGAAAACAGACAATAATGTTGCTGCTTTGTTTCAGGTGTGAACACACAATGATGTTGCTGCTTTGTTTCAGGTGTGAACAGACAATGATGTTGCTGCTTTGTTTCAGGTATGAACAGACAATGATGTTGCTGCTTTGTTTCAGGTGTGAACAGACAATAATGTTGCTGCTTTGTTTCAGGTGTGAACAGACAATGATGTTGCTGCTTTGTTTCAGGTGTGAACACAAAATGATGTTGCTCCTTTGTTTCAGGTGTGAACACAATAATGTTGCTGCTTTGTTTCAGGTGTGAACACACAATGATGTTGCTGCTTTGTTTCAGGTGTGAACAGACAATGATGTTGCTGCGTTGTTTCAGGTGTGAACAGACAATGATGTTGCTGCTTTGTTTCAGGTGTGAACAGACAATGATGTTGCTGCTTTGTTTCAGGTGTGAACAGACAATGATGTTGCTGCTTTGTTTCAGGTGTGAACACACAATGATGTTGCTCCTTTGTTTCAGGTGTGAACACAATAATGTTGCTGCTTTGTTTCAGGTGTGAACACACAATGGTTTTGCTGCTTTGTTTCAGGTGTGAACACACGATGTTGCTGCTTTGTTTCAGGTGTGAACACACAATGATGTTGCTGCTTTGTTTCAGGTGTGAACAGAACATAATGTTGCTGCTTTGTTTCAGGTGTGGACACACAATGATGTTGCTGCTTTGTTTCAGGTGTGAACACACAATGATGTTGCTGCTTTGTTTCAGGTGTGAACAGACAATAATGTTGCTGCTTTGTTTCAGGTGTGAACACACAATGATGTTGCTGCTTTGTTTTAGGTATAAACACACAATAATGTTGCTGCTTTGTTTTAGGTATAAACACACAATGATGTTGCTGCTTTGTTTTAGGTATAAACACACAATGATGTTGCTGCTTTGTTTTAGGTATAAACACACAATAATGTTGCTGCTTTGTTTCAGGTGTGAACACACAATAATGTTGCTGCTTTGTTTTAGGTATAAACACACAATAATGTTGCTGCTTTGTTTCAGGTGTGAACACACAATAATGTTGCTGCTTTGTTTCAGGTGTGAACAGACAATAATGTTGCTCCTTTGTTTCAGGTGTGAACAGACAATAATGTTGCTCCTTTGTTTCAGGTGTGAACACACAATGATGTTGCTGCTTTGTTTTAGGTATAAACACACAATAATGTTGCTGCTTTGTTTCAGGTGTGAACAGACAATAATGTTGCTCCTTTGTTTCAGGTGTGAACACACAATGATGTTGCTGCTTTGTTTCAGGTGTGAACAGACAATGATGTTGCTGCTTTGTTTCAGGTGTGAACAGACAATAATGTTGCTCCTTTGTTTCAGGTGTGAACACACAATGATGTTGCTGCTTTGTTTCAGGTGTGAACAGACAATAATGTTGCTGCTTTGTTTTAGGTATAAACCCACAATGATGTTGCTCCTTTGTTTCAGGTGTGAACAGACAATAATGTTGCTGCTTTGTTTTAGGTGTGAACAGACAAAAATGTTGCTGCTTTGTTTCAGGTATAAACACACAATGATGTTGCTCCTTTGTTTCAGGTGTGAACAGACAATAATGTTGCTCCTTTGTTTCAGGTGTGAACACACAATGATGTTGCTGCTTTGTTTCAGGTGTGAACAGACAATAATGTTGCTGCTTTGTTTTAGGTATAAACACACAATGATGTTGCTCCTTTGTTTCAGGTGTGAACAGACAATAATGTTGCTGCTTTGTTTTAGGTGTGAACAGACAAAAATGTTGCTGCTTTGTTTCAGGTATAAACACACAATGATGTTGCTCCTTTGTTTCAGGTGTGAACAGACAATAATGTTGCTGCTTTGTTTCAGGTGTGAACAGACAATAATGTTGCTAGTTTGTTTCAGGTGTGAACAAACAGTAATGTTGCTGCTTTGTTTTAGGTATAAACACACAATAATGTTGCTGCTTTGTTTTAGGTATAAACACACAATAATGTTGCTGCTTTGTTTCAGGTGTGAACAGACAATTATGTTGCTCCTTTGTTTCAGGTGTGCACAGACAATGATGTTGCTGCTTTGTTACAGGTGTGAACAGACAATGATGTTGCTGCTCTGTTACAGGTGTGAACAAACAATGATGTTGCTGCTCTGTTACAGGTGTGAACAGACAATGATGCTGCTGTTTTGTTACAGGCATGGTGCCTCTATGGATGTTCACGCTGGGCAAGCAGTTCCACGATGACAAGATGCAGATCACCATCCCGTACCTGAGCATCGTGCAGACGCTGGCCACGGTCATCCTCCCCCTGCTGGTCGGCATCTTCATCAAGTACAAGTGCCAGAAGCTCGCCGCCATCATCATGAAAGTCATCAAACCAGTCACCCTCGTCACGGTGGCGCTGCTGCTGGGCTTCGGCATCTACGCCAACCTGTACATCTTCCGTCTCTTCAAACCCCCCACCCTCCTGGCTGGGTGCATGCTTCCCTACATAGGGTACGTCATCGGCGGCCTCATCGCCCTCATCTGCCGCCAGCCGTGGTATCGAGTGAAGACCATCGCCATAGAGACTGGCATACAGAACGTCATGGTCGCCTACCTCATGCTACTGATGGCGCTGCCGCCACCAGATGGCGACCTTGCGGCTGTTGGTCCAGCAGCTTCCGCTTGTATGACGCCACTTCCGCTCTTCGTGCTCGCAATTGGCTACACGATTTATTTGAAATGCACCAATCAGAGTTACGCACAGGTGCAAGGAGGGGACACGGAGATTGACGCTAACGGGAACGCTAGGCCAGGTGGGAGCACACAGAGGGGGAAAGACAAGGAGAACGGAGTGAAGGCCGACATGTTGACTAGCGGGGATAGCCAGGTCGTGGACAAACTGACGGCTGTATGAGCTTGAGCTCTCAGTGTGGCATATTGTTTTGATTCGGTGGGGAGAAGGAAGCCCCGGGGCCACGGGGCAGCTTCCGTGATGGTGTCGGACACATACTATGTGGGCAACGCAAAAAAATGTTCTGAAGTGTGGAGATATATGGATATTGTTTTGACGACGATCATGTATATGTATTAGTATAACGTGAGGTACACTGCCAAATTTGGCATCGTTTATTGGTCGAAGTCTTCAAGAGTTTGTGAAAATAAGTGAAATAAGTAAAACGCATGCGCAGACAATCACCACGTGACCCTGTAGACTTGCTAACATGTAATATAAGACTTGGTCTCTGTAGATAACAGAGGACTCCTTGCTGATAGTTCTGCCATGGTAAACACTGTGTTGTCCTTGATGTAAGTTCTTCAATGAGAAGCATATGTTTCGTTGCTATTACTTCCGCCACGGTGTGAGAGTAATAACATTTTTAATGATTTACTGGCTGGTTTCAGGGCTGTTTTCACTGCAGGCAATAGTTACAAAATACACTGGTCTGAAAAGAGGCAGATTTTACAGCCTATTCATTGACTTTCCCAAGTTATTTGACCCTGTAAGATATGATCCTCTCTGGCATTCATTATGTGACGTATAAAGGGTCAATCTTTTGATGTAATCACATCAATGTATAATAATTTATCTGCTTGTAAATAGTAACATAGTGTTTCCCTCGATGTGAGTTCTACTGTGGGTAACATGGTGTTTCCCTAGATGTAAGTTCTACTGTGGGTAACATAGTGTTTCTCTCCATGTAAGTTCTACTGTGGGTAACATGGTGTTTCCCTCTATGTGAGTTCTACTGTGGGTAACATAGTGATTCCCTCGATGTAAGTTCTACTGTGGGTAACATGGTGTTTCTCTCGATGTAAGTTCTACTGTGGGTAACATGGTGTTTCCCTCGATGTAAGTTCCACTGTGGGTAACATGGTGTTTCCCTCGATGTAAGTTCTACTGTGGGTAACATGGTGTTTCCCTCGATGTGAGTTCTACTGTGGGTAACATGGTGTTTCCCTAGATGTAAGTTCTACTGTGGGTAACATAGTGTTTCTCTCCATGTAAGTTCTACTGTGGGTAACATGGTGTTTCCCTATATGTGAGTTCTACTGTGGGTAACATAGTGTTTCCCTCGATGTAAGTTCTACTGTTGGTAACATGGTGTTTCCCTAGATGTAAGTTCTACTGTGGGTAACATGGTGTTTCGCCCGATGTAAGTTCTACTGTGGGAAACATGGTGTTACTCTTGCTGTTAGATCTGCCATGGGTGACATAGTGTTACCCTTGCTGTTAGATCTGCCATGGGTGACATAGTATTACCCTTGCTGTTAGATCTGCCATGGGTAAGATAGTGTTACCCTTGCTGTTAGATCTGCCATGGGTGACATAGTATTACCCTTGCTGTTAGATCTGCCATGGGTAACATAGTGTTACCCTTTTTGGTAGATCTGCCATGGGTGACATAGTGTTACCCTTGCTGTTAGATCTGCCATGGGTGACATAGTATTACCCTTGCTGTTAGATCTGCCATGGGTAACATAGTGTTACCCTTTTTGGTAGATCTGCCATGGGTGACATAATGTTACTCTTGCTGTTAGATCTGCCATGGGTGACATAGTGTTACCCTTGCTGTTAGATCTGCCATGGGTGACATAGTATTACCCTTGCTGTTAGATCTGCCATGGGTAACATAGTGTTACCCTTGCTGTTAGATCTGCCATGGGTGACATAGTATTACCCATGCTGTTAGATCTGCCATGGGTAACATAGTGTTACCCTTGCTGGTAGATCTGCCATGGGTAACATAGTGTTACCCCTGCTGTTAGATCTGCCATGGGTGACATACTAGATTTGATGTGACAGCTGATGTAAATATTATAACCTAATATATGATACTTTGAAGTACATAGGATATAAGATACGTTTCTGTACATGATATTTGTCTCAACATATCCCTGAAATGACATATAAGTCCGGTCGATACCGATCTTGTGTACCCTGTGATACAGTGATATATATTACACGTGCATGTCCCACGGGATGCACATTATATCCTCCCTAACACGTGATGCTATAGGAGAAATAAAACACTGATGCAAATAGCGTTGTTACATCTTCTGTTTCCACTGTGGAGCATGTTCCGAGTGACGTGTGGAACCGACACACTGCCTGCTGGAGACAGGGATGCATCATACCGAGGCAAGGGCGTTAACTGACGATAAAAGTCCAGTTTCCTCAAGTTGGAATTCCGGAGTTACATTTTGGCTGGATTAACGAGTCTATGCATAGTCCAATCAAAATCGCATAACGAAATTGATATCCGGTTCGCAAACAACATGGCTTTCGGTCGATCGAAGGATTTGCAAAGCACGTGTACCGCCAACTGGGCTTCGACAGATATTTTGTAAATCTTTTCAAGTTTTTAATCAACGTGCTCAAGTTTATTTGATGCACTTCGTGAGGTAAGGCCCGTTTTATTACAATATAGATCTTGATTATCAATCACATCTTGACTGGGCGCCATCATTTTGTTTGAAGCAATTTCAAGTGCTATGAGATGTGGTATCTGATCGGTCAGTATGAGGGATATAGAAGGGACATAACTCGTAATAGCCACTGGTAGCGCTACGATGGAGTCTGGAAATTCAAGCCTAGTTCTGGAAACTGGACTTTTATAAAAGCCAAGTAAAGCCCTTGCCTCGGGAAGATGAGAATCTAATAAAATGTATTTAGAACTTGTACTAGAAGACCAACCTGTAGGTCCCTTGACCAAATCATGGAAACAAAGGTTTGAAAGTGTTTTTGAGTTTCCTGATGTATACTGAACAATTTTGACTTGGGCTGCCCGGTTGAAAATTCCGGGCATTTTGGGGAAGGGTCAACAAAGGTCACACAGGGGTCAAAATTCAAAATTATGTCGATATGCATATCAAATTACTCGTCCAGCAATTTTTAAAAGTAAAAAGGGTTACTTTGGCCTTGAAAATCGAAAATGGTTGCCAATACTTGCCAATACGGTATTCACAGCCAGCACTGCCTCAACATCTGAGTGATGCCAGAGCAAACTGCTCTGTAGAATCGGACACAGATTCTAGATTCAAGTGATTGTGACAGTGATTCCGACTCTGCATCTGATCGGTACGACACAGAGTAGGATGATGAACTGTGCACTAAAGTAAGGTTAGAAAAGCATTACTGGACAATGAATTCTGAAATATGCTGCGTTATTGGCCAAGGATCCTGTGACTTTGCTGAAGCATTACAATTCTTCATGCAGCAAAACCATTTTCGATTTTCAAGGCCAAAGTAACCCTTTTTACTTTTAAAAATTGCTTAGTTGAATTTGTCATGTCAGAAAACATTATTAGACACTAAAATCATGACTATCGGACAATGTTAACTGTGTTTGTGAATTTCACCGACTGCCAAAAGTGCGTTGACCTTTCAACGTTTTTGGCCATAGCTACCCCATTTAAGGTCGGAAGTATAACAAACTATATATTTCTAGGTTTCTTATGACTGGACGAGTAATTTGATATGCATATCGACATAATTTTGAATTTTGACCCCTGTGTGACCTTTGTTGACCCTTCCCCAAAATGCCCGGAATTTTCAACCGGGCAGCCCAAGTCAAAATTGTTCAGTATACATCAGGAAACTCAAAAACACTTTCAAACCTTTGTTTCCATGATTTGGTCATGGGACCTACAGGTTGGTCCTTGACTATTGGGGAATCTTTTCGCACACACTTCGGCCTCCTTGAATGTTTATGTAGAATTGTGTGTTTCTTATTTATTGTAGTGATACTGTCGAATGCGCATTTCCAAGAGTTTTCCATATATCTATAGCACATGGTTTGGTTTCAAAAAGGGGTCACGTGACCAGCTCTTAATTCATTATGGTCGGAAATTACGTTTGAACGTGCAGGGGATATCACCATGGTGATTCTTAAAACAAGGAAACGCAGACGACGTACTTACATTTTTTACATTTTTCAGACTGAAGTTTATCCGTCCATGGAAATGTTAACTTATTTTTTTGCTACACAGGACATATACCCGTCCACAAAGACTGAGAACGGTCCTCGACTGGGCAATATGCCAACCCGTATCACCGTGTGTATTATCATTAGAGGAAACCCGTGAAGATCAGGGATAGAATAGATCTTCAGCAACCCATGCTTGCCATTAAAGGCGACTAGGCTTGTTGTAAGAGGCGACTAACGGAATCGGGTGGTCAGGCTTGCTTACTTGGTTGATGCATGTCATCGTATCCCAATTGCGTGGATCAATGCTCATGATGTCATTCACTAGATTGTCTGGTCCAGATTCGATTATTTACAGACCCACTTCATATAGTTTGAATATTGATGCGTACTGCGTTTAACCACAAACAAACAAACATCATTAGAGGTGTATTTACCACGGTAAAATCTGCAAGTCTGATTCTGAACCTTGTTAATAGCAGAGTATTCCTTGATACACCACATGCCGGCTCCAGACGTAGGAAATGGCAAAACAAGAGATTTATACAGCTTACCACCCACTGTCTCAATCCTTGTGATTAGGAGTACCAGCCCTGTGCTGGCAGATAGAGCCCAAGCCCTGGCTGTGATGTCGTACTGTAAGCGCCCTTGTACTGGAGGGTCAGGATAAGTTTGTCTTTCAACTGGGTTTAACTCAGTATTACCACAAGATATTATTATGACAGCGGATTGTTTCCCGAGTACGGTAGACTTTCCCTCATGTACCGTCATGACCTACCCGCCACCACGGCAGGCGGTCAGTCTCCGTCACACTCACTGTCGGTTCTCATTCCTATATCTGGGGCATGAAGAGTTAGATGTAAACTATTGATGAATATGTTGAAGAGGAGAGACGACATAGCACATCCTTGTTTTACCCCACACTTACAGAAAACTAATATTCAGAACAATTATCATAAATATAAATATAAATCATTATAGTGCTCTCCACATTCCTCTCAGTCTACGCCATAATATACCCCGGTCTCCGTGTCGTATACTTTCCGGAAATCAATGAAAGTTGACAATCAAACAATCAACTAACTTGTGTACAGCGAAAACTGTAATACACACGACATACTGAAGTGACAAATCAAATGTACACAACCAATCGCAAAGCGATTTATAAGAGACAACATAAATACGATACATATATATCGTATTTATGTTATTGTCTCTTATAAATATATACTCTTCAAAAAAGAAACTTGACATAGATGTAAAACCACTTTTTGCCAAATATCTAAAATAATTACATGAAATGAGAACCAAATAAGTCAAACAGAAAGATGATGTGTCTATAATTCGCGAAAACACATGCAAAGCACATAAACGTAGCGTTTGGGGATCAATTTTACAGCTACATCCAAACGCAACCGCCTGTAAAAAACGTGCAGCACAGGATCCTGCATTTAGGCATGCAGGCCCCCCTGCTGAATGGGTATAAAAATCCACATCAACGGCTGTTCATACAGTCCTTATAACGGCAGTAGAGGCGGTGACAGAATGCCAAGACTGAATGCAGCTCAACGGAACAACGCCATTGGGAGATTACAAGCTGGAGCAACTCAGCAAGAAGTGGCCAGGCACTTTGGCGTATCCAGACAGACAATCTCCGCACTGTGGACCCGATACAACTACACCAACAGAGTTGACGAGAGACCAAGGTCAGGAAGACCAAGGGTGACAACCCAAGCACAAGATCCATACATCCGGCTGCAACACCTCCGAGCCGCACTACCACAGCCAAGTCTACAACCACACAGATCCCTGGGGTACGCAGAATATTAGATCAAACGGTACGCAACAGACTGAGGGAGGCTGGACTTTTTGCACCAAGACCTGTTCGACGTCATGTATTGACCCCACGTCATCTGGCGGGCCGTCTGCTTTGGTGCCAACAGAGGGTTAGGTGGGCACGTGCAAGGTGGAGAAATGTACTGTTTACTGACGAGTCCCGTTTCCTACTCACGCGTGCTGATGGGCGCGGACGTGTCTACAGACGTCGGGGTGAACGTTACGCCCCCAACTGTGTGCAGCAGGTTGTCCCATTTGGCGGCGGGAGTGTGTGTCATGGTATGGGCCGGAATTCATCACGGTGGTAGGACGCCTCTCGTGCATGTGGCAGGTGCATTGACAGGTGTGCGTTACAGGGACTTGATCCTACAGCCTTACGTTCTTCCTTACGTCAACGCTCATGGCGGACAGTTCCAGCAGGACAACGCTCGACCGCATATTGCACGTGTTTGTCAGGACTTCTTACAGCACAAAAACATCCAGACATTACCTTGGCCAGCCCGGTCACCAGATTTGTCCCCGATTGAGCATCTGTGGGACGAGTTGGATCGACGCGTTCGCAGAAGGAATCCACCGCCCCAAACACTTCCGGCGCTTCTTGATGCACTTCAACATGAATGGCAGCACATCCAACAGCGTGTTATTGACAACTTGATTGCATCTATGGGTCGTCGGTGTCAAGCGGTGATTGATGCACGTGGTAGGCACAACCGATACTGACATTTTCTGTACCCCTGTGACAACTGTATCGTGTACTGGTGTCTGTCTAGGTGACACGATTAATGTTTTGAACATTGTGTAAATTGATCTTCAAACAGTGTTTCAATTATGTTTTCTGTGTCCTATTTTGAAACAATCGCATTATATTTCATTTTGAAAGTCAGTGTCAAGTTTCTTTTTTTGAAGAGTATATATGAATATATGCAAAGAGCACATAAAGCATTAACTATACTTAACAACAAAAGTTCCTGTGGCACCAATATTTTAATGTATTTTTCAAACAAGTAAAGTTTGGTTTTCAATATTGTAGTACATGTATGGAATCAAGTCACAAAAACGCAACTGCTACAGAAAAACATGCATTCCACGCAAAAGTTGACTTTTATGCAAGCCCCATGCATTTCACTACCCAAGAATGGGTATAAAAACATGTGCGTTAACGGGATTCCATATGCATTGTTTAGCGTCGTGCTGACAACAACCACTCAGAAAAACAACAAAATTATGCAATTATTCAACATTACGAAATGCCACGCCTGTCCAAAAATGAGCGTCTGCG